CTACCCTTACTTATAGCCGGGATCATCACTATTGCAGGGGCCGAGTCTTGATCAGGATTTGACAGACCCTCATGGAGAGGTAGAGCAACCTCAGTACCAAGGCAAAGCCGTTTCCTGGGGGAATTACGTCCTCTTGTTATGTTACGTTTCCTCAAGCTAACTCCCTGAAGAGGACTTTGAGCAACTCTGTTTCTTGCAGGAGCCTTGGGATTCTTTTTCTTGTTTGTGGTTTTTGGTGGGCCTGATTTTCGTTTTGCGCTTGATGGGCCTGTTTTGCCTCCTCTTTTATTCCCTTTAGGGCCCAACCTTTGAGACGCAGGAACCCGATCCTCCACCTCCAATGGTTCTATTTCTAGGGATCGAATCAGAGAGGTTGGTTTTGACCATGGATCTTGATCCCTCGGGAGGAGAGCCTCTGACTGGAGAGGGGGAGATCCATGCGGCACCGTAACCCTGTTATTCTCCTCCAAGTATTGAATCCTCACCTCTTGCAGATGCTCCGACCCTATGTTCTCAATTTCCATAGAACTATCATTCCTTTGTGGTTCTCCTAAGGACAACCGTTCTAGGACTGGCCGGCGAGACCTAGATGTGTTAGAGTGTCCAGGCGTATCTCTCCTACTTGGGGTATTGTGTGGCTCCCTCGCGGGCCTTGGTGGAGGAGTGCGGGAGCTGATAGTCTTATGCGACCTTTCCTGATTCTCTCCCTGTTGAAAGTCTTTTTGCGCCTCGCCATGGGCAGCTCGTTTAATCCATACTTCTCTTGTGTAAGAAGAGGGGGCTGGAGATTTTCCCAAATTGTTATGGCTAGAGGAAACTCCTCGATGAGCTGACGAATGGGGTCTTGAATGGGTGGGAGAGTATCTCCTATCAAACCCCGGAGGTCGAGACATGTCCTTTTGTGAGCTACGAGTAGAGGAGACTTGAGAATTCCCATCCTGGTAGTAGTCTCCATTTCGGGGATGTCCCTCAGACCCTGGAATTTTTTTCACTTTGTCTTTGGCCTGACGTAATGTCCCTCCTTACTCTCCTATCGTCTAGCCTTTTTCGGTATTCATAAGTTTACATAGTTTAGTTGAATTCTCTTTTACATTCTTGCATTAAACAATCACAATCTTGTC